CCCTCAATATACGTGCATTTCAAAAAAATTTTGCACCAAAATTTTTCCACACACTTTTTTTTTTTTTTTTTTTGATAGGCAGAGTTAGACAGTGAGAGAGACAGAGAGAAATGTCTTCCTTTTTCTGTTGGTTCACCCCACAAATGGCTGCTATGGCTGGTGCTCTGCGCCGATCCGAAGCCAGGAGCCAGGTGCTTCCTCCTGGTCTCCCATGTGGGTACAGGGCCCAAGCACTTGGGCCATCCTCCACTGCCTTCCCAGGCCACAGCAGAGAGCTGGACGGGAAGAGGAGCAACCGGGACAGAATCCGGCGCCCCAACTGGGACCAGAACCCAGGGTGCCGGCGCCGCAGGTGGAGAATTAGCCTAGTGAGCTGCGGCACCGGTATCCACACACTTTTTGAAGTGCCTTTGTATATCCTGAAACCCTGGGAGAAGCCAACATGAAGACAGAAGATGTTTGTGTGTCAGAATGAGGGACCAAACCACAGGTAGCCTCAAACTGAAGGCAGAAACCATCAGTGAGTGTTGGAGCAGAGTGTTGGAGACTTCAGGAGGAGGAAGTTGTGAGCTAGACCTTGAAGGGAGGAAGGCTTGCAAGGAGGAAGCAAAGAGCGTGCAGAATGGGACCGCAGACAGCGACTGTACCGAGAAGGAGACAAAGGCAAAGCTGCTCGTGAGCCAATGCAGAAATCAGGGCTTTGGGACCCCATCTTTCAGGCAAGGACTCAGGAAAAGGCAGAGTACGAGCTGGCGCTGGGGGGGAGGGGACAGCGGGTTAAGCTGCCCGTAATGCCTGCATCCCATAGGGGCACTAGTTCAAGTTCCTATTGCTACATTTCTAATCCAGCTCCCTGCTCATGCGCCTGGGCAAGCAGTGGAAGATGGCCCAAGTGCGTGGGTCCCTGCACCCACGAGGAACACCAGATGAAGCTCCTGGCTCCTGCTGGCCCAGCACAGGTTGTTGCGGCCATTTAGGGGAGTGAACCAGTAGATGGAAGATCTCTCTTTCTCTCTCTTTAATTCTGCCTTTCAAATAAATCTTCAAAGAGAGAGAGAAGAGCAGAGAGAGCAGTTCATAGGCAGGGCCATCAAGACTTCTGTTTTGGATTTTTTACCACTGTAGTATGTAAACAGCAGGAGATTTTCTTTTGTGTCTTCAAACACCAGTTTACAAATTCAAAAGGACAATTATTTTCTTGGCCAATAATTTTTTTCTTATCTTTAATGCCTAGTTTAAATTAATGTTTAAATTAAAAGTGTGCGAACCCTGGGCAGGCATTTGGCCTAGTGGTTAACATGCCTGCCTCCCATATGTAGTGCCTGGGTTCGATTCCTGGTTCTACTCCTAATTCCAGCTTCCTGCTGATGACACAGTGATGCCTCAAGCCATTGGATTCCTGCCACCCACACAGGAGACCTGGATTGAGTTCCAGGCTCCCAGCTTCCGTCCCAGCCAAGCCCCAGCCCCTGCGGGCATCACGGGAATAAACCAGCAGAAGACGACTCTGTCTCTTTCTCTCTGAGTCTCAAATTAAAAAACAAACAAAACAACAACAACAACAACAACAACAAACAAACCATGAATCACTTGAAAGTAAAAGAACCCGAGAATGAAAAATGAAGATCCTGGAAGAAAATGAGTGACATGCAGTGAGATAAAGAAGGGCCCAGACGTGTCACTTGGAGAAGGGCGGCTGGAGGAACCGCAGTGAGAGGAGGACACCTCATATAAACACAGACTGCGCAGAGGCCACCCCAGCACAGCAGCACCCGAATCACTCACGGGGGCTTCCGTCTTCACAAAGACACAACATTCTGCTAAGCAATTTCCAATCAGAAAATGTACTAGCTCACACTGGGAACCACACCGTGGGAGTGTCCAAGAGAAACATCTGTCTTTAGCTCCAAGTCCACTTGAATTAATTTTGTTGAAGCACACTTTTTTAAAGGCTTTCAGTCTCCCTTCTCCTTGTTGATTTTTTCCCCCTTGCATGTTTTCTCCCAGGCACATTTGTCTCTGCAACCCGGAGTTGGGGAGCAGAGGTGTGGTCAGCAGTAGCCGGTGCTATTTTAAGCACATGTAATACAAGTAGGAGCAGGGAGGGAGGGACATGCCATGAGAAGTCTGCCAATCCCTTTAGGTGTTCACACAACGGCGTTTCCAACCAACCTGTAGTTAGGCAACAAAACCCCAAGCTGAAGAAACTCACTTGAAGGTGCAAAGAAGGGAGGGGGAGGCATTGAAGCTTACACGTGGAGATGGAGGTAGAGACAGAGAGGAGGGTGAGATTTTGCAGACTGCGTATCACTAAGCAATTAAACACATGTTTAACCACAATTGAATTCATATATAACAAAACAGGAACAATGATTTAATCTGACACCAAAGAGAAGGTGATACAGGGCAGCCTATGGCTTACTTAGGAATTAATGACTTTGAAGTCATAATTATCCCATGCTTTAAGCAAAAGTCTTGTTTTTTCTTTTCCTAAATAAAGCAGACCACCAGGACCTACGGAATTGTTTCCTCAAAATCTCTATCCCTGTGCCCCATAAAGACCTCCTGCACTAGAAGGGGTTTACGCTGCTTGAACCGTTCCAAGAAATGATCTCTCACGCTACTGATGGTTGCTGCCTAGCTTGTTCTCTTTAAGGTCACTATTTGGATTTTTATTTTAATAATGATTTTCATAAACCTCAGACAGTCCTCTCTTGTGCATAAATCTCAGGGTAAAGTCATACAAGGTATTATATGAGGGGACTTTAGAATTTCTGTGGAAAAATGGAATTAAAAGTTAAGCTTATTTTGGCCCCCAAATTTGGGGAAGCCACACACAGTTCTTTAATCATCTGCCTCTCCCATGGACTTTTTTTGAAGACCCCTTGTATATAAGCACTGGTACCTTCTTCGCTGCCCACATTGCCTGCCGCCCAGGGTCGGTTGGGGAGAGACCTAAATAGCCGGATGTCTGGGAGGCAGCAGGGAGGGCCAGAGTGACTGGATCCCTGTCACTCAAGGGGGAGCCTCATATGGAGTGCCTGACTGCCGGCCTTAGCCTGGTCCAGCCACCAGAGGATGGGAGCTATGTCTGGCTGGCTCTCTCTCTCTCTCTGTGTCTCTTAAATAAACTTTTAAAACATTTAAATTTAAGGATCTGTAAAAAAAAAATGTCACAGTTGACAGGAGCTTGCTAGTTTCACTAACTGAAACCACTCTAAAAAATGTTTGAAGCCCACTGCTGTGGCACAAAAGGTTATTACTGCTATCTGGGCTCTGGTTCACGTCCCAGCTGCTCCACTTCCAATCCAGCTCCCTGCTAATGCACCTGGGAAAGATGTGGAGGATGGCCAAGTCCTCGGGCCCCTACACACACATGGGAGACCCAGAAGCAGCTACTGGTTCTTGGCTTCAGCTTGGCCCAGCCCTGGCCATTATGGCCATCTGGGGAGTGAACCAGCAAGACGGTTCTCTCTCTCTGTGTGTGTGTGTGTGTGTGTGTGTGTGTGTGTGTATCTCCCTCATTCTCTGTAACTCTGACTTCCAAATAAATGAATACATCTTTTTAAAAAATTCTTAATGCCTGGACCAAAAAAGCCAAATGCCTCCCATAAAGATGGCCTTCTGTGATTAAGTCAAATGCTCTGAGATGTCCCTCAGAGTGACACAAGGACAGGGAGCACCTACAGGCCACTGGCATCATCAAGGGGCCAGAGCGCTTCCAAGGAGAACCTGGAGCCCTAGCACTGCACAGTGCAACCAGGCGGGTCCATGAGCCTGAAGGCCACAGGTGTGCTGAGTGAAGTCAGAGCGGCAAAGCACCTGCCAGCAGGTGCAGAGAAGGGGAGGCAATGAGGACCCTGAGGAATGAGAGGAAGGGCCAGCTGCCTCCCTCCACACGTTTCTTCTGCACGTTTCTTCTGCGCAATCCCACATGGGGGATGCAGAGTCCCTACCTCCAGTGAACTCCCCCACAAGCCAACACAAACAAACGGCAGTCTCCCTGCTGTGGGTTCTCAGAGTCTAGAGTAACAGACCCAAACCAGTTACACGGAAACCAAATCTGTTTGGGAAGCTCTGGCCACCCCCTGCCTGGGGGAGCCCAGCCAACAGTGACCTCAGGCAGAGGAGGGATCAAACCAGCCGCTTCCCTTCTGGGCCTGTCCCGGGGCTGAGACATCTGAGAACCAGGCCAACTGCTCAGGGGCTCTGCTCTCCCAAGAAGGGTGCCCGGGGCTTCCAAAGTCCTGAACTCCTCCCTGCCTCCCTGAGGGCAACTCAGACACAGCACAGGGTCCCCAGAAAGCTGTGAGCGGACAGCCTCCCCCCCCCCCCCCCCCCCCGCCGCAGAGAAGCCACGGGGGTGAAATCTGGGCCCGGCTGCAGACAGATGTGTCAGGGAGGCCATCCGCTGGGAGACAGCTCTTGGATGAAGCCATTTGTGGGGAAGCAGCACACGGACAGGGACACAGGGCCCAGCCGGGGACAGAGTGCACGCTGTCTGCTCCCATCACTTAGCTCATCAGGAATGAGGGGCAGCTTTACAAGTCAACCCTCCACCCAGCACTCAACTTCAGGTCACGTGGGATGGAGACATGATTTTTGTGGATGATCAACAGGCAACATAAATTGCTAAAAGGTTCCCTTGATGTGCTGACAGTTGTTCAGTCAAATGGGTGATCTGGGGCATCTATACTTTATCATTGTCTGTTTTGTCTCGCCTCCCTTCAGGATGCTAACATAAAATGCTATAGACTGTGTAACTCTCAATTAATACAACATTCATTTTTGTGGGAAATGGCTTCATTTTGATCCACAAAACACAGAACCAACAAACTGCGCGGATTGCAGAAATGTAAACGGAGAGGCCTAACAGAGGCCTCTATCTAAGGCATCAGATAAACTCACACGGAGGGAAAGCTCTATTTCAGTGCTCTACAGTTTTTACCCCAGGAGCAGAAAAATGCCAGCTAGACAAAAGCACCCTTTCGGGTACTTACTGATTCCTTGAAAGAGCTCTTCGATGTTGATAGCGTTCTTCGCACTTGTTTCAACCACGATGGCACCTATGGACTCAGCATATTCCTTTGCATCCTTCAGAGGAACCTCCCTGGAAAAGAGGTCAAACCCAAGAGAAATGAGTGCTCAGCTGTAAAATACAGATCACCCACAAGGCCAAACAAACCACGGGCGTCAATCAGCTCTTTTCTATCCCCTGCAGACCCGGAACGCGGCCTCAGCAAGCACGGACGGCCGAGGATGGGGGAAGATTTTTGAGAGTGTAAAACCTGGTCTCTGGCCCCCCCGGAGACGGGTGGGTGCCCGAGTGCTCTGCTCCCGTGGTGGGAGGCAAATCCAGGACAGGAGGGACAGGAGGGGTGAGAGGGCGGTCAACATGCTGCTCTCAGACCCCGGCTTCCGCTGTGGTTTGGAGGTCACTTAACTGCCCTGGTAATAGCAGGAGGAGGCGGCAGCCTGACGAGGTGATTAAGCCACGAGGACTCTGCCTTCATTAGCAGAATCATCGTCTCCATGAGAGGTCAAGTTCAGGCCCCCTCTTGCCTCTCTGCCCTTCCATCTTCGGCCACGTGGAAACGAAACACTGCTCTCTTCCCGAGGAAGCAGCATTCAACACGCCCCAGAGTCCACCTTTCTTAGCCAGGTCATGGCGGTACTGTTCCGGCAGTGCAGAGCGGAAGAAGGCAGGCTGGTTTTAGCTTTTTCCCCCAGGATGTGACTCAGTATTAAAACAATACTGTGAGAACGTAGGATGTGCTTTGGGGCGACTTTCCACACACGGTTTTCCGCAGAGCAGAGCAAGTGTGTGCCACGACTGGTCGGTTTGGCAACGAGCCTGGTACGACGCAGTGTGGCCTATCTGGAGTTCCACCTTTAAGAAGCTGTTCCCACAGAGATGGAAAATTCACAGTTCTTGTTCTCCTAAGGTTCATTTATGCAACAAATACGTTATTGAGCAGCCCTTGTGGGCCCCTCCTCTTGCAAGTAGTAAAGAAAACAACCAACCCCGCCTCCTGGAAGGAATGTTTAAGAGCAGAGACAAGCAAAACACTGACCCACAACGCGGTGTGCAACCAAGCGCCTACAGACCAAGGGGCAGAAGGCGATGGTTCAGTCCAGGGAAGCAAGGAAGAGGCCCTGGGTGGAGGCGGCCACCTTATGTGTGGCCACGAGGGCCACGGAGAGCTAGGGCGGGGATCTGCCATCTGCTCGAGGCCTGGAGGAGGGAGCCCGTGCTCCTCTGCCGTCAGCGCCGGGACGAGGGCGCTCTGAAGCCCCCATGTGGCTCGGAGGTCAGGGCGGCTTCACCCATGTACCACATGGTGTCAGGATGGACAGACGGCTGGAGTGTGTGCCACAGGAGCACAGGAGGGCCCAGCAGGGATCCTGGCCATGCAAGCCTGGCTGGTCCCAGAGGCCTCAGGGAGCAGGAGGCAACCGGGTCAGCGCCCGAGCCTGGGAGAAAACAGCACACAAAGGGGACCAGGGCGGAGAGAGGCGGGGAGGGTGACGTGGAAGTGCCTCTCGGGCCCGAGGCCAGCATGGCAGGGCAGCGATGGGAAACAAGGGGAGGGGGACACGAAGCTGAAACTGGAGGTGAGCACAGGGCCTGTGTCCATCTGCCTGCCTTTCCTCCTCTGCCTCTCTGTCTTTCACAAATGGCTGCAACTGACTGACAGCTACTGGGGAAATTCAAACACCTTCTGAGACCCAACCTGTATGAGAGGAAGAGTTTGCGGGCCCCAGGTGGGAATGCCTAGGTAGAAGTTCACACACACACACACACACACACACACTGCATTTACTGTTATTTGTGAAAGGAAGAGCAAGGGAGATATTCCATTTGCCGGTTCACTCCCCAAAAGGCCACTACAGCTGGGGGCCATGCGTCAGGAACCCCATCCAGGTCTCCCAAGTGGGTGGCAGGGGCCCAAGTCCTTGGGCCATCATCCGCAGCCTCCCAGGCTGCATTAGCAGAGGCCACGCATGCTCCCTCCAGGCCCCACCTTCACCAGCCGCCTCCACCTCAGTCCAGACCCCTTCGTTTCTTACAGGGATTCCTGCGGTCGCCTCTTCCCGCTCCCCTCACCTCCTGCCTTCCGAAGTGCACATGGATCAAGTATCCCTGCGAAGGGGATCCTTCTCTGCCTCCCGGCTCCCTCAGGAACAGACCACGCCTCGCGCCTCGGTGCTGTCCTGCTCACCCTCGTAACGACAGCCACTCCAAGTGGACTGCCGCTGCGGGAACTCGCACGCTCAGATCTGTTTCTGGGTCATGCACCTGCTCCTCCTCCCGTCACCCTCCCTGGTCACCCGGTGACTTCGCGCTCAGCCTCCTGGAGGCTCAGGCTCCGGATCCTGAGCAGCCTGTGCACCCTCCTATCCTAACGCCCACACCCTGGTGAGCCTGGCTCCCAAACAGCCCACAGATGCCTCAGGTTAGGACAATGATTTTGGTCTTGGTGTCTGGGGATCCTCAAAGGACCTGGCACCTGTGAGATAACTGGTGAACACCTGTGGATGGCTAATGCCACAATCTCTCCAAGTCCCCTTCAGCCGAAGGGCCCCTGTACTGAGCTGGTCCCCTGCACTCGGGGCCTTCTCAGCAGGGACTGAGGTTGGGAAACTGCATTCCCGTAGGCTCTAGGATTTTCAACAGGCCTGTGCTACCCAGTAGGGGTCCCTGTTGAGTGTGGGTGTCACCTGGCAACACGGTGGCCGGCCACCCACTCATTCTAATTTCAGGGCTGGTTCAGTTCTCCACAGTCCTCCTCCACCCAGTTGGGGGGGGGGAGCAAGGGAGAAAGCAGGAGTCCCGACCCCCCACCTGTGAGAGGGAGCCACATCAGCAGGTGACAGCATGTCACTGCGCAGCCCCTGGACTCTTCTGCTCCAGCCACAAGTCCTCGCTCCGCATCTTTCCCAGGTGGCCTCCATCAGTACCTGATGTGTGCAGGCAATCGGGTCAGGCAGTGCTGCTCTCACAGACGGGCGACTTTGCCTGCAGCGAATCCCCCACCCTCAGTGGCCACTTCCCTCAGGTCTGACCCCCGCCCACTCATCCTCCCAGGCAGACAGGATGCCTCGTGGTAACTGCAAATGTTCGGGGCAAGACCTGGTACACCATAAGGGCCAAATCATCGCTTCTCAAATGCATCTCCGTATCAGAGAGGACGCCAGCACGACACCAGTTTCTTACAGCCTGCCCAGCGGACTGAGGGGATGATGCAAGTGCAGAAGACGAGTAAAGGCCCCGTCACAGCTGATGGCCCGCAGAGGCTCCAGGTCCAGTCATCAACATTCCACAGAAAAAAGGGGCCACCACAACCTACTTGCTAAACACAGATTTCCAGAACCCACCTTGAGAGTAAAACTGCATCATCTTGTAAGAGCCTTTCTTAATTAAAAAAATATATATGCATCTGACATGAATTCTGGTCATTCTTATTCAAAGAAGATCACCGACTTCCCACAGGCCATGGATATTTCTTGTTCTGTGGCATTTCTGTGCAGGTTCTCTCCCCAGCTCAGTTTGGAGTTATTTAGGAATCCCCCCCCCCCTTATTTATTTTTAAGTGCTCTTTACATGAAGGAGTCTAGCCTCACGCAATACATTTTCCCCACGTTTTCAGTGTGTCATCTGCATTTAGGTCTTGTTTGTAGCATTTGTGCCACACAGAAGTTTTTATACTATCAAAGTATTGATCATTTTCCTCTACGGCTTCTGAGTTTTATATTATGATAGTTCCTTTGACTTCCAAGATTATTTTTAAAATGTAACCTTTCTCTAATTTTATGACTTCACTAGTTTACATTTAAATCTTTATTCAATTTTGGATTTCCCTTCTCTCATTTCTCCCTACGACTATGACTAGCTAATTATCCTAGCACTCTATTGAATTACTCCTTTTCACATTGATTTTATTTTATTTTTTATAGTCAAGTAACCAAGTGAATGATCAAGCACTTCTGAATTTAGTTTATGCTATATAAAATCCTAACTTCTTTCAGAACACACTGTAGACTCTATATTAGATCTATAATAATTTTATTAATTTATACCGAGGGAATATTGCACCTTTCATCCAAAGAACGGAAGGTGCTTTACAAACATTATATTTATTTATTTTTTAAAAAAGATGTGTTTATGTAATTGAAAGGCAGAGTTACAGAGAGAGAGAGAAGAGACGGAGAGAGAGAGAGAGAGATCCTCCGTCTGCTGGGTCACTCCCCAAATGGCCACAACAGCCAGCATCGGGCTGGGCTGAAGTCAGGAGCCAGGAGCTTCTCCCCAGTTTCCCACCTGGGTGCAGGGACCCATGCACTTGGGCCATCTGCAGCTGCTTTCCCAGGTGCATTAGCAGAGAGCTGGATCGTAGGTAGAGGGGCCTGGACTCAAACCAGCACCCACATGGGATGCCAGCACTGCATGCAGTAGCTTAACCCAGTGTGCCCCAATGCTGGCCCCCAGAAACATTACATTTAAAAATCTGGATTCTTGCTGTTAAATCTCTTCACCTCCAGATACACAACTTTCTGTTTGATAGAAAGCAATTCATACTCATTTTAAATGTCACCTCTGTCACATGCTAAATATCCCTACATATTTTACCACATTCACCAGTTCTCTATAATGTTCATCCATCTTTTGTCTATTTCTATGCTGATGTCACAGTATTTCATTACTGAATCATTAAAGTCTAATTTCAATATCAGCTGGGATTAGTCCCTCAAATACTATTTTTGCCTGTGTGTTTTTCCAGATGAACTTGAGGATCATTTTGCAAAATCCCTTTTATAAAGGCTATTTTGGTAATTTGATATTTTATTGAACTCACAGTTTAGTTTATAGCAAATTGACATTTCTACAATGCTGAGTCATCTTGGCCAAGGGGAAAGCACACATTTTCCTTATTAAGTTTTCTAATGTCCTACAGTAAAAGTATAAAGTTGTAACTATATGGGTTATTATTGCTTATTTCATGCTAAATTCATTCCTAAGATTTAAAATTTTTCAAAAATTTAAAAACTATATACACCTCAAAAAAAGTTGATTAGTAGGTATTTTAAATTTGTATTGGTATTGCAGGC